TATAAATGAATGTATATGCTGCTTAAGCAATATATCACTTAAGATTTTTTTAAAAGAAGACTTTAAGGGCAGTGGGGACCCAGAAACAGGATGGAAAATAAATGGATTTATACTAGATGGCATGTGTTGCCTACAGAAATGGTACAAATAGTAGGAAACATACCAGTTGAACTGACAGCCATGTGAAGGGGCCCAACAGTATATATACCACATAACTATACATACAAATATATCAATATAAAATAAGGAGGGAAAACAAACAATTCAAATACAGTAGTCCATATGATTAGGCTCTCATATCCTAGCTGGAGTACTGTAACATCCTCTACATGGGACTGACTTTGGAAAGTTTTCAGAAACTTCAGTGAGTTCAAAACACTGCAGAGAGAATGTTAACTGGGGATGGTTACAGGGATCTCAAAACACCCCCCTCCCCACTGCAGCAGCTCCACTGGCTGCTGTTTTAACCTATAAAGCCCTAAACATCTTGTATCTCCTTTTATGAGCCTTCCCAGGTTTTAAGATCACCAGGAGAGGCCTTTCTCTCAGTAGCAGACGCATATGGTGGAGACACAGGAGGGATCCTACTTTGTCACTGCTCCCAGACTCTGGAACTCCCTCCCACAGGAGGCCTGGTTGGCCCCATATCTGCTGTTCTTCCACAAGCAGTTGAAGATGTTTCTCTTCATGCAGCTTCTCCTTAGTGACTGGCGGTCTAAAAGGGATTTTAAAATGGGATTGTTTGTAAAAAAATTTTGGTAATGTTTTACCAAATAATATTTTAAATATATTTGCTTGATCCTTTTTAAATATTTGTATAGCTTACTATTTTTGGGGTTTTTTTTTTACAAATATTGGAAATATTGCCGTTTTTCAGTTATGTAAGCCATCCTGGATCCTTTTGGGAGAAAGGTGGGGTAAAAATACTGTAAATAAATAAAATAAATTAACAGAGATACTGAGTGGGACATAACTTGGGACATTTAGTCATGTATTAAATTTGTTCCATATTCATCATCCCAGGATGAATATGATTTCCCCCTCGTATCCCTATAACGACCCTGCAAAATAGGCTGGGTGCCTTGCTCAAGATCCTCCAAGGAGTTTCAGGGCTGCACAAGGAACTGGTTGACTCTATTCTGTTCTAATTCAATATTACAAGTGCGGCAATTTTCTGTATTCTGTACACATTTCCCTTTAAATCATCCTGAGCAACTGGGATGCAAAAGTGGGGAAAATAAAACAATAAGTAAATAACAATAAACAAACAATTCCCATATGGTATTACTACACAAGGGAGTTATTTGCTAGAATGCCACTGAGTCACAGAAACATAACTTTCCACATCTGGTAGTAGTCGGTGTCAAGCCTCTGTCCCTGTTCTCTGATCTTTTACATCCCAGTTCAAACACTTCCATAAGTTCAATTTTGTTCCTTGCAATTATAATAGAAGCAACACAGTGTTTTGCAGGCTGGGCGGTCTAATCCCGTGTTAAACTACATGTCAACAAAACTCTGTATCTATTCCTCTTGTACTTTAGTAATATTCCACTAAAAGGATTTTCCTTGTCACTGATGCTAATGGACAGATGAGTCAGGGTTTTATTGTGCATGAGACTGTGTTGTTTTACCCTGAACAAATATTTGGCCATCAGAATAATTAAAATTTGATTCAAATATATAAACATGTGCATACATAAAATGAACAAAAAGACATGATAAGGTTATTACAGAAGATGGAAGCTCATAGTTGAATGCTTCTCTAGAATGAGCTGGCTGGGGGATTCTGGCAAAGACAGGGGAATTTGTTACCTCAGCAAAGATAATGTTAATCTATTTGTGAGAGCCAGAGATGCAATATAATGAGGTATATCAGAGGATTTTAATATCCTTTAGGGAGCTGAGTTTAAAGTACTTAGCAACATGCATCTCCTTCAGAAGTCTGAGAAAATGTTCTTTATTTAAAAATTTCTATGGATGCTACTTCTGGAACAAGTTTTGAAAATTCACCTTGAATTTTGTTTTAAATGAAATTCAGGAACAGGTTAATTCTAATGTAAATGGAGTGTACAGCTAATGACTTTTTAGTACGACTCTTTGCAGTTCATAAAGTTTTGGGAAGTTTCAGAGACCCTCAGATCTCTTCCTTAGGCTCAAATGCTCAATAAAACAAAACAATAAAAGTAGGGGGATTTTTTTCCAGATAATGATGGAAAACTCCCAAAGTAACAGAGGTATTGCACAGATCTGAATTAAAGTCACACCTGGTAATTATAAAACAAGGGCATCTGTTGAGCTTGACAGTGCCTTAAAGAATGTTGCCGTGTTTCATCCCAATTGAAACATCCTTGAAAACATTACAGTTTGCATGGAGATGACAAATATTTTACTGCTTGTATTATTTCCATTAAAAACTTTCTAAGAGAAAGGGGGAGAAACAGGCTTGTTTTAAACGATTTTTTTTTAAAAAAATCTGTTTTGTCATAAAATTTTCCAACATGAGTAATAACATCCTGCTGTGGGTTTCTAGAGGCTGGCATTTTCAGAAGTCTATTATAATGTTAGTTTTCTCCCATTGAAATGCTGTTCTCTTAAACAGGATCTCATTTATCTAGACCAAATAGGAGAATTTGAAAGAATCAGAATGCACAACAAACAACTGGAATTAAGGAAATGACATTTTATATGCAATGGTTAAAACAGACCATTATATTAAAACTTAAAAATGCAGTCTGCTCTGGCTAACACTAAACATTATCTATCTAAGCCAATGACATCACCTTCTTTAGCAAGGCAGTGGTCGTTTTGGAGGTGTGTTTGGAGTCATTATCATGTTGGAATACTGCCCTGCAGCCCAGTCTTAGAAGGGAGGGGATCATGCTCTGCTTCAGTATGTCACAGTACATGTTGGCATTCATGGTTCCCTCAGTGAACTGTAGCTCCCCAGTGCCGGCAGCACTCATGCAGCCCCAGACCATGACACTCCCACCACCATGCTTGACTGTAGGCACGACACACTTGTCTTTGTACTCCTCACCTGGTTGCCGCCACACACGCTTGACACCATCTGAACCAAATAATGTAAGTTTATCTTGGTCTCACCGGACCACAGGATATGGTTCCAGAAATCCATGTCCTTAGTCTGCTTGTCTGCAGCAAACTGTATGCGGGCTTTCTTGTGCATCATCTTTAGACGACAGCCTTGGAGACCAGTTTGATGCAGTGTGTGGTGTGTGGTCTGAGCACTAACAGGCTGAGCCCCCCCCCTTCAATTTCTGCAGCAATGCTGGCCGCACTCATACATCTATTTCCAAAGTCAACCTCGGGATATGACACTGAGCACTGGCACTCAACTTTTTGGTTGACTATGGCAAGGCCTGTTCTGAGCGGAACCTCTCTTGTTAAACTGCTGCATGGTGTTGGCCACCGTGCTGCAGTTCAGTTTCAGGGTTTGGGGAATCTTCTTATAGCCTAGGCCATCTTTATGTAGAGCAAAAATTCATTTTTTCAGATCCTCAGATAGTTCATTAACATGAGGTGCCATGTGGAACTTCCAGTGATCAGTCTGAGAGTGTGAGAGCGATAACACCTGCTCCCCCTTCACACCTGAAACTTGTGACACTAACAGGTCTCATGACACCAGGGAGGGAAAACGGCTACTTGAGCCCTATTTGGACATTGTCACTTAGGGGTGTACTCACTTTTGTTGTCAGTGGTTTAGACATTAATGGCTGTGTTGTGTTGTTTTGAGGGGACAGCACATTCACACTGTTATACAAGCTGTATACTTACTGCTTTACATTGTAGCCAAGTGTCATTTCTTCCATGTTGTCACATGAAAAGATATACTAAAATATTTATGAAATGTGAGGGGGTGTACTCACTTCTGTAATATACTGTAGCTAGAGGTGTTCTAAGAACCAAGGCAAGACATTCAATTATGTTTTTCTTTCCTTGATGTTTATGGGAGTGGGGGTGGGGAACTTAACATATGCTGTGCATTGGCAAGTGAAGGCTGATTCAAGTGTTGGATAAGAAGAGGTGTTCAGTATTGTTGCTGCATGAGAGTTATTGAGCAACAGAGCAAATCAGCATTCCAAAGGCAACTCAAAATATGGGGTGCCCCATACAGAAAATTGTAACATTGAAACTGAACCTTAGAACAGCACCAAATTTGGCACAGATGTAGCAGACAGTCTGCCTTTATTCTGTGCCAAATCTGGTGACATTGCAGTAAAGAGTTTCCAAGTTACAATTTTTTAATGTAAAACTCTCCCCTGTACATACAGCAGCAACCTTTTTCTGTCTCCAGATTCTAAACAGCTTAAATACACTGAAAAGACCAAACTTGCTCATCTTGAAAGAGAATGGTTAGTCCCAGCCCCCCTTTTTAATTAGGAAGGGATTGAAGCTGGGGGGGGGTAGTTAATCTGAATCTGGGAAAACAATTTCAAAGGGGGAAACTCTCTGATTTTCTTATAAACTGGTTAGCAGCCTGACATTCTAAATATAAACATTATTTCAGTTTCAGAGCTAGGAAGGAAGATCTGAAATTTGACCCTGCCACACAGGACCAAATTAAATGCCACTCAGGAGGAGAACTTTTTAAGTCTTTCCTGGCCAAATAGACATTAAAAAGTGTTTCTACTTCTGGTGTAAAATAACTAAAAGATGTTTTTTAAAAATAGAGAATATATCTTTAGAAGTTCACTCATTTAAGCTGTGAAATTACTGTTTTTTGCTTTGTGGCTGGGGATAGTCTTAAGAGTTCTGGTGCCTATTCCACCCATCTTGTCATTATGCCATTATTTGGTAATTAAGAAAAGTCTCCAGACCTGCTATGGGCCATCAAGGCACTTATGATGTGTGATGACTATATGAATTACTGACTTCCAAAATGTCCTATCATCAACAGCTCTGCTCAGATCTTGTATTTATTTTATTTATTTATCTATTAGACTTATATGCTGCCCATCTAGACAATGTCTACTCTGGGCAGCTCACAACAAGTAGAATAAAAACAATTGTAATATGGCAACAATTTTATAACAATTTCACAACAATAAACAGTCATTCAAGATGGAAGATAAAAAGATAAATTAAGTAGTGTCCGGAGGGAAGGCTTGCCTAAATAGCCAGGTTTAAAGATGTTTTTTGAAAATGCCCAGGGGAGAAAAAGAGATAGGAGAAGCTAATATGGAATCAACTGGAGCTGGAGGCAGTTGTTTGACCCAACTGCACAGACAGGATCAAGACTCAGCAGGATCACCATCCCAGCTTAGATGGCTGGGAGAAAGGGAGGGAGTAACAATAAGGGAGGAGCACATACTGTTTCTTAGGTCACAGTGGGTGATCCCTGACGGAAAGACTAATTAATTATTGCTGTGGCCCATTCAGTTGTTATAGGCCTGGCTGCTTTGATTAGCCAGGCCAGACAAGGGTCAAGGGATGAGGTGGTGGCCTGACAGCAATCAAGTGCTTTGGCAACAATGTCTGGTGTCATAGGCTGAAAAAGATCAAGACTCATTGGGCAAGGCAGAGTGGTGGACATCTCTGCTTGATCCACTGTATCCAAAAAAGTAGAGATTAGCTTGTTTTCTCTCAAATTAGCTCTCAGATTAGCTTGTCTCCTCCTCCTACTGCCCCCTTCTAACAATATTATCTTTTCCAATAAGTTCTGCTCAAATCTTGCAAACTAACAGCTGCAACTTCATCAGTTGAGTAAACCCATCTTTTGTTAGCTCTTCCTTGTTTCTTTTTGCTTCACCCCACTTTTCGCAGCAATGTAGTCTATTCTGGTTACTTCTGTATTTCTGTTATATGTGCAAGGTAGGATAGGCTCAGGTTACTCATTTTAGTGAGAGTTCAGGCTTTACTTTATTCAGCACCCACTTTTGTACTTTTCTGGCTGTCTTTCATGTACAGCTCTCCTCCAACAAAATTCAAATGAATTGATTTTTGTCCCTGTCTTTCTTCACTGTCTTTCTTTCACATAGCATGGATGATTGTGACTTTAGTTTCTACTGATACTCTTTAGTAACTCCAACCTCGCCTCTTTTTAAAAAAAATTCCAAAAGAAAGGGAGATTTTTTGGAAAACATGCACACAATATGTCTGCAGAGCTTTTGGTCCAATATAGCCTTTCTTCTTCAGTATCCTGTAGAAGGAAGGAAGGACATACACATTACAATACGATTAACTCAATTTCTTGAATATTCCATTTTGGGATCAAATAAATCATTCATTTTGGATCAAATAAACAGCTCTACAAAATCATTTTTCTTTTTCCTTTTTCCTTTTAGGGTCAATTTCTGTGGCTGGGCAATTCCAGTCCAGAAACAAGAGAGTTAAAGCTCTTAGTTTTGCACATGAGTTCAGGACTTCTCTGCCTAGACTAACCACATGTCCGTTAATAATCAGTAAATCTGTAAGGCTAACCTCTGTAGCTAGACTTCTTCCAGCTGGATTCTCCTTAGCTTCAAACACATCAATCACACCCTGAAGCTGCTTTCCATCAGGGATCACCCACTGTGACCTAAGAAACAGTATGTGCTCCTCCCTTATTGTTACTCCCTCCCTTTCTCCCAGCCATCTAAGCTGGGATGGTGATCCTGCTGAGTCTTGATCCTGTCTGTGCAGTTGGGTCAAGCACCCTCCTCCAGCTCCAGTTGACTCCATATTAACTTCTCCTTTGAGAAAAAAAGGATGGCTTAGCTGACCAGGAGTCTGGAAGTCAAAGTCTTCTCTCTTGCAAAATGACTTTGTCCAGCTACCAAACTTTCATTTAATTACTTTCAGGCACTTTTCCTTGGAAGTAAGTTCCACTAAAGAGAATGCACTTAGAAAACAGTACCAGATACAGTTGTGGAAGGCTTAAACATAACATTGGATTCCTATGAAGGAGTAAATCCTATTAAATAGCCCAGAACTTTTCAGTAAACATACATAGGCTGTAATTATTTGAGGTTACCACTGGCCGTTTTTTAAAAAAATAACCTAAAAGAAAACTGGTCATATAGAGAAAACTAAAATGTCAGAAATTTTATTCTGGTTGTCCGGTTGTACAGAGTTGGAAAATATTTTACAGCAATGTACGTATTAGAAAGCAGTGTAGGGAAAATGTGATTCTTTGAAACAAATGGAGTTGGGTTGTGACTTCCTTTGTCCTTTAACAGCTAGGGCTGATCATGCTTTCCCAAAAACCTTTAAATGCCCACATGTACCTGATCCTTGTTAGAAGGGATGCTTCTCTTTTAGTGGCTGTGTTCCATATTCCAGGTGACCACAGCCCTGAAACACAGGATGATGATGATGATGATGATGATGATGATGATGATGATGATGATGATTGTAGTAGTATTAGTAGTATTAGTATTAGTATTAGTATTAGTATTAGTATTAGTATTAGTATTACTTAGTGAAAGTGTGACATATCCCAGTAGGTCTGGGTTTGTCACAGTTGGTTGGCTGGGTGGTTGGTTGGTTTATTTGATTTATACCCCGCCTATCTGGGCAACTCGTCCACTCTAGGCGGCTTACAATATAGGATAAAACATAGAAAAGTACATAACTGTTCAATCGTTACAATTATAATAAAATGGAGGGATAATAAAATAAGGGAAAATAAGAGAAGAGATCAGGATGAAGGGCCAGACTATATGAGGTAACTGCATTTCAGTTACACATGGAGCTCCCTTAAGAAATAAAAGTCATATCCTACAATGAGGTTTCTTCAGCTCTGCAAATTGCAGACTAGATGGCATTTGTTTGGTAACTGGTTATTGTGAAAGCAGGGATTTGAAACTGATTGTGCAAATACTGCAGCTTTAAAGTAACAGGTCTCTAATGGCAGACATGGCATCTCATGTAAATCAGTGAATTTAACTGATAACTTTTCTCATCCCATGATTACTTTTGAGTTTGCTTTAGTATAACTTACTCATGCCCAGTATGCTATCAGATTTGCTAAAGAAGTACAGTGGTGCCTCGACTTAGCAGCCATAATCCGTTCCAGAAGATGGATGTAACCCAAAATGGTCGTAAATTGAAGCACCATTTCCCATTGAAATGCATTGGGACGCAATTAATCTGTTCCGGCAAAAACAACAGCAACAAACAAACAAATTAAGCACACAGCAAGCCCAATTGGAAAGTGCTGGAGCTAAAAAAAAGAAAAAAGAAAACCAAAAATAAACAGAGAAGCAAGGTCCGTGGCTGGGCCTTTAAAAATAAAATAAAAAAGAAAACCAAAAATGCACAGTGAAGCAAGCTGTGGTCAGGTTCATAGACAAAGTAAGCCCACATGAAGCACCTCTCTGTGGTTTGTCCATAAATAATTCCATGCTGTCAAGTCGATCTTGACTTATGGTGACTCTTCCTAAAGTGGATTACTATTCCCTTCTTCTGGGCACACCCTAGGGCTTTGGAACTTGCCCATGACTATGTAAGCTGGCTCTTCTCCCAGGAGGCACACCGGGGAATCAAACTTCCAACCTCTGGTTCTGCAGGCCAGATACCTAAACCACTGTGCTATTCAGCCAGCTTGTCTGCACATAAGCACTTCAGAATTCTTGCTGGCAGGTGCAGGAAGGCTGTTTAAAGAGGGACTCCAAGCAAACCTAGAGAAAGGAGATCACATTGGGGTAGGAGCACTCAGGGCACATTGACTTCACAGTGGTGCAAAGTTCATAGGGAAGAGAAAACAAACTTTGCATGGTTGCTTGTGACAATGCAGTTTTTCTATTTCATCCAGTAGAGGGAGCTCAAACATTAAGTTAAATTAGTCACCTCATTGATCAGCATTTCTTTTTAATTAAAATTTCTGCTCCAAGCTAAAAGAAAATTTTACTACTCTGTGCCATCCTTTGACGAATATGAATAAGAAAACATGGAGCACAGGTTTCAGGCATTATGAAACTCAAAATCCGCACCCCCATGCACAATGTATGACAGATTCTTCCCCAAACATGACATTCTTCCCCAAGGTAAGAATTTAAAATGCAATTAAAGGAGCAGAAATGCTTCTTTAAATGGTCCATCCTCCCCATGTAAAGATGCCATGATAAGTTAGGGCTCTGACCTTGAAGTCTGCTTTTTGTTTTGTTCTGAAGGAATACAAGGTAAGTGCACCGTCTGACACAGCTAAGCCCTTTCTAGTCAAATCCTGCACATAAATCTTCCATGTTATGGAACTTACTCAAAAGTAAGTGTTTGTAGACTTGCAGCCACATTTATTTAACAAAATTGTAGACTATCCTTTACTAAATTTGATTTGGGGGTGGTATATAACATAAAAATATTGTAATGCAAAGAATAATGAACCAGATAGCAAAAACAATCAGTCAGTAACAATACAGTATATGGATTTAAATGGCAAAAATACTTCAAAAATATTTTAAAGTTATCTTGGTTTTCATGGGGGAGTTGAACACACACACTAACTTTCTCTTTCGAATCTTGTAGAACTATAAATCATGTAGCACTGCATGGATGGTCTCCTAGGAAATGCCTTGGGAATGTTGCAATGTGTGGATTACACATGTTAGAAGTGTGTGAGGGATGTGTGGCCCTCTAGACTGATGCTAGATTGAAAGTCCCATAATCTCTTACTCTTGGTTGGGGTCGATAGGAGTTGCACTCCAAAAGCATTTGAAAGGTTACATGTTCTTTAGTCTTTCTATTTTTGGATTTATTGGCATTTTTTTACATATAAGGGAAATTCAGCTTTGAAAGGTCATTTGTATAGAAGCAGGTGCTAGGTTTCTATATGGATGAAATGAACACATATAGGAGTCTTGACTGTACAGTGGTAGGAGGCATATGCCATTGCCAAAGGTTTCCAGGTCAGTTCTGATTCCCAGCATGCCACAACTGTCCTCAGTGAATTTAATGGGCAGCCAGTCATCTGTAGGAAAATCCTGTCTTTAAACCATGGATGTTTCAGATGGTGGGAGTGCACTGGTACTATAATTATTATGTGACATTCGCTGATAGAATTAATTCATGAGCTGAGATCTTATAACATTCATGCAATAGTAAAGTGATGATGGAGACAGCAAGTGATAATAACATTATTATGATATTTGTTATTATTATTACTATTGCCGTCTGACTCCTGACACATCTGATTGTTCTTGCTGATGTCACTGACTTTTTTCAAGTGATTGTAAAAAGCTTTTTAAAAAAGACTTTGGATCTTATGAGACAAAGTAAGTTAATACTCCATTTTTCTGAACTCTTATATAGTGTCATTAGGCCTAAGCAAATACGTGATTTCTATTATTCGATTATTCTCATTGTAAAAATTGTGCACACTACACACACCATTCTATCTAAGACTCACAGCCATTCTATTTTAAAAATCCAGTAATTGTAAGCATATTGTTGTGCACTTTGTCTGCTACTTATTTGTGCAACATCTTGTACAGTTAGGTATGTGTTTCCTCTAGATTTTCAGGTAGACCTAGCCCTAACATGAGGTAGACAAACAACAGGAGAAAAAAAGGGGGGTTGTTGTTCAATGGTAAAAAATTTTCAACATTTCCCCCTTCTTGAGCAACAGATCAAGGGTTACCAGCAAGCGGCACAGACAAAGTCAAGCACAATGAGACATCTGGTGTGGAATCTGTTTTCTTAAGTATATATATTCATATATTGAATATAAAATGCTTCTCTGCCTAATCATTAACCTATGCTGAAAGTACGTAGGTAACATTTATTCTCAAGGGCAGAGCTTGGAAAAGATTGTTTCTGGACTACAGAACTCAGAAACCTACAGTGTGGCCAGGGACCATGTTGGTTGGGAGATTCTGGGAACTATAGTTCAAAAAAGTACTATCCAAGCTTACAATGTGGGCTTCATTTACTGAAGGTTTACTTGCTCAGGTTTACCTTCAAGCAGCAATTTGACCCCAAATTGGTAGAGCAGATGATGGGGCCAGAGCCTGAGGAAAGTGAGCGCCTCTCTTTATTCTCTCTCCCCCCCCCCCCGCCCCCGTGTCCTGTTTTCNNNCTGGTTGCTCAAGAAGGAAAAGAATAGTCTTGTGAAGGCTTGAACTGGTCACTTTCAGAGAGATTTTGAAACTGGTTAAAGGTTGTTTGAGGTCCTCAGGGTGAAGATCATTTGGGGCCCAAAGGCCACGCAGTCCTGCCGATCCCTTTCTACCCTATCACCTCTTATATTTAAGAGTGATCATAGTTCTCAGCACTAGACATGCATGCATAAAAGTATATTTCATCTGAGCAAATGTGAACCACCACAGGCAACTATGCAGATTTAAAAAAAGCATACCAGTAAATAAAATAAGTATTTAAGTGAAAACTTGAAAAAAATATTTTTGGGACTGCAGCTCTCAGATTTTCCTAGAAAGTTCAGTACTGGCATCTTACATAAAGAAATGTAAGATTTGCCCTCATTCATATGGCATTTGGATTGTGACCCTGGCCAGCTGCCATGTAGAGGCCTATCTTTTATCAACCGTGTTTCAGCCATCTGAACCAGCAGTGGGAGATAAATGATAATTTCATCCCTTTTCATGTCTAATTAGAATTTACTAGAATTGGTAAAATTCTTCATATGTGAGAAAGAATTCACCTATCCAGTTCCAGGGATTTCAACGCATGGTTCCTTGAAGTCTTGATTTGAATCTGTCTATGTTAAGTCATATTGCCACTGAATTAGTTTGCCACCAGTTTTTTTTCCTAAAAGGCTCATGATCTTTAATCTGCACACAGCAAGAAGGTACAACACAATCTTCTCCATGCTGGGAATAAGTGAGGCTGCTGAATTTGGTTGGAGCAGATAGGGAAAACTTCATGTTATTGAAGAGCTTATCAAAATTCAGATTTTTTGTTATATCTGTGGCAGAAAAAAATTGGGATTGTAAAAAATGAACTGTGGGACAAAATGAAGGTGTCACCTTTTCTGTTCCCACTTACAACCATCATTTTGTGATGGTGACATCCTGCGGCACCACGTTGCAGTGTAGTGCATTCCATTTCAAATGTGCCTCAGTTTTAGAAATCTCAGAGATATAGGCAGCTTTTTCTGAAGGAACAAAAAAATCTAAAAATACAAACAAGCCACCACCAGTGCTCTTAAATGATTAAAATTATCTTTGTATTCAGAACAAGCCAAGTAAGGAGAAGGGGGGGAGAGACACATTAAAAAGACACAAGGTCATTTTAGCCACCTACCTCTTTGAGGTTAAGAAATGATGCCAATGGAAGAAAACATGCAAAGCTGCATACAAAAAAGAAAGCTGCAGCGTGCCAAAAATTCCCCCGGCTGTCCTTCAAAGGGCAGAGAAATGATACCTTGATTTATCTGTAATAAAAGCCTTTGAAGTTGCGAGCCTTGATAGAGAAAAGCAAAGGATTATTATACAGAGAGCTAGCTGATAGAAAAGCACTCTGTTCTGGGGCTCCTTCGGACTCATGCAAGAGAGGAATTAGGTCCAGTGTGTTAGCTATTTAAGATGTCATATTTATCTTGATTGTGCAATTGCTTCTGGTATTGTTAACACGTGAAAGGGCGACCGTTGGACTGCTTCTGTGTTTCCCTTTCTTTAGCAACAAAACAACAGTTTGATTTGTAGCTACAGCTGATAAATTACAAGGTTAACTCTAGTGCTGGCTAAAGATTTGTCTTCTGGGTAGCAGAGCATGTATGCCATATGTTTTCAGATGCCATCCTAATGGCAAACCTTCAAACTGGATTTCAAAAGAAGATGAGCTAGATTTTTTTTCTTATTTTTTTACCTAACGTCTATGCATACAGATATATTCTGTAGACATTAAATGGTGCAATATTTCTCAGTCCCTTTTCTCTAGCTGTAGAATCTAGGGGGTCCTTTTTGCCTCTCCAAACCAGGTTTTCTGAGGTCTCTATTTGGGTTGTTACACAAAAGCCTATCAGGGGAGGAACTTCCGTTGTACTGACAATCAAATGCCAATATAAAACTGGATTTAGCATTCAAGAATGTAAGAGAGAGAAAAAAAGACACAGGGATACATGTGAAAGTTGGCACTATTTTTGAACAGACTTTCACAAGAAGTATCCAGTTCGTCATGTGCATTTTATCCTACTACTTTTATGGTGTTTATACATTTATCTAAAATATAGAACTTTGTATTCATTTCATTGTAATATATGCATGTCTGTACACATTTTACCCCATTATATACTTTTTCACACCTTTCACCTTCATAGATGCGATTTGCACTCATTTTATCCTAATACTATTTGGATTACATATACAGTCAGAGCCACAAAAAAATTGGCATCCTTGTAATTCTGTCAGAAAATCTAACCCTTCTCTCAGAAAATTGTTGCAGTTGCAAATGTTTCACAATTCATGTGTTCATTTCTTTGGTTTGCATTGGAAGAACACACACACACAAACAGAAGAAAAGTCAAATCTGATACAATTTCACACAGAAACCCCAAAATTGGGTTTGAAATTGAGAATGTTTACTGCTCACCTAAGAGTCTATTCTGTCCCCAGATTTCATATACATCTATGTAAAACCAAACTTTCACAGCTGTATTTCTTCTCCGGTGCAAATAAATGGAAAGCTTAATGAACGAATCTGATTCAAGGCACAAATCTAATCAAATGGAGCATAAAATTGCTCCAGACCATATGGGAATATTTTTGAAAGCCATGAACCTTCCTCCAGGTTGAATTGGGGAACTCATATATAATCTGAATATGTGGCATCTGGAAAAGGTTAAAGTTCATTCAGGTTAAAAAATGTGGCTGTCTTCCTAGCACATGTGACCTATCCACTCAAAATATGATACCCAGTAGGTTGTGGAGATGGCAGGGGAGGCATATAAAAGTATGGGTTACTTTCTGGAGAGTAAAGAGGCTATGGCATACAATAAACGAATTGGTTGTGAGAAAGAAAAATAGCCGGTACATGGCCCTAATGTGGGGGTTGCCTGTTATAAATTAAATCAAAATGTTCATAAATGCACACAGGCTCTGAAGTTGCATCTGTATTTGCTCAATTCTTTGGCCTTAAAGAAGATCTGGACCAACAATGACAACTGACACAAGTGCAAGATTGTATTTTAAATGTTGTAAGCTGCCCAGAGATCTTTGGGTAGTGTGGG